CCGCCCCTCCTCCCAGAAGCTCTGGCCGCCTGCCAGCTCGCTCTCCTCAGCTCCCCATTACTAATGCAAAGATGCGTTCTTTTGGAGGGATTGAAAAAAGATATAGATCTATCTCTCTATATGCATATGTTTTTGGTATGTGTGAATGTATGTGTGATTGATACCTTTATTTGTATTTATATGGAAACCGCGGAAGGGAGGGGCGCTCCCACGTTCGCACTGCTGGTGTAGGGGTGGTGGTGTGGTAGTGTGTGTTGGGGAACAGGAATTCTGCTCAAAGGAATGGACACTTTCCTCCATCTCTCTGTTCATTTTCCACTCCTTAAGAAGTGCCTCTGTGTCATCTCCAACTTCTGGGGGATCCACCCAACGGTTTACGAGCCGAAAGGCTACAGCAAGGAGCGCCCACTCCCATTCCATCCGTCCTGGTAGAGTGCAGCTCCTCCCCCCGTGGGGAGAGGGCGGAGAGGCAGCTAGCATTGGCCCAGAGGTGCCTTGAAGGTAGGAGTTGAGGAAGGGGATGCAGAGAAATCTAAAGGGCATCTTGCTTGGGACTAAAGCTGGCCTCCCCCTCCCCCCGCCCTCTGTGCGCGCGCGTGTGTGTAGTGGGTTGAACTGGAAAGTTGGATGCTCCTAGTTGCTCTCTCAGCAATTGCGCGTCTACACCTCCCACATCAGTACAACCACACTGTTGGACAAATAAAAGTGGGGCCAGCATGTGGCTGAATGATACCTGGCATACTTTCGATGTTAACCAGGTTGTTGTTAACCGGAGCGCTCCCTTCCAAGCCACTAAATAGATTCATATCTCTTACCCGTCTCTCCTCCACCCCAAGCATTTTTCAAATCTATATCCCCCACGACGAAGGCAGGCGGGACCGCCTTTTGAAAGTGGCTCTTAATCAAAATAACTCTACAAGCTGGCCTGTGGGGCCTCCGGGGTCTGCACGTTGCCTTCCGTCTCTTTTTCGCAGGCAGCTGTACGGAGTGAGACTACCTCTTGCCACGCTGGAGGGGCGGCTGCCTGTAACGCAAAGCCTGCAGGGTTTGGGAAGATGTAGGCTGAACCTAGGAAAACTCTCCTGCCTCTCCCCAAGCACCGGCGCACTTCTTTCCGATATGACAGTGTCTGTATTTGCAGTTTAAGAAAACTCATGTTGGGGTGCTCATAGTGGAAGGGGATGGGAGGGGAGAAGGGCACTGTCCCAGGAAGTAACGACGTAGAATAAGCGTTATTTAGCCAAATCTTAACCCCTTTTGGAGAGAATCAATAACCAGTGTGACGTCTCAGAATGCAGATTTTTTGTGTACAGTTCATTAAAATATTTTAAAAAGCTTAAAATCAGGTAGCTCTTTCCATAAAGAAACTGGGATCTAAAGGGAGCAGAACTGTTCTCATTAAACAAGTAGCTTAGTCAGCCTTTTAAATCCTAGACTCCGGGCGCTAAGAACTTGGGGGCAGGGCTTCTTGGAGGCGGAGAGGAGCCAACGGGGCGTGGCCGTTTCAGTCTCCACCCCCCTCATTTGGCATTCAGTGATTCCAGGGCCCCTCCTATATTTACACCACACCCACTTGTGATCAAGTTTGAGAGATGGGGCGGAGGGGATTAGTACTGACAGGGGAGTTATGAGTTCTAAATTTCACATCCCCTCTTGCCTCCCGACTCCACCTTTCGTCCTAGGTAAATCTGGATTGGGGCGGGGAAAAGTAATTAGATTCCGGGACGAACATCCAGCACAGCAACACCACCCGTTG